GTAATTAATTATTTGGACAGACTCATGTCATAATATACTGATACAGATTTATGTAGTCATCTCTGAACACATCTTACATTCCATGTTAGCCTAAAAAAATAGATCATGGAGAATATGTCTTATTCAATGTGCCTAGCTTAGTGCCTTTCATATATTGATGCAGGGTTCAGATTTCATTGACAGTGTATTTTCAACATAGAGGATTCAGAGCCTAGTATTACTTTTACCTACTAGTGGTGAGTTAGGCAGGTAGAAGAGGGGCATTGAGTATCTGTGTAAGAAAGGGGAGACACAGACTTCCTTGAGCCAGAGTCAGGTATAAGTATTACCTTATAACCTTAAAGGCCATGATGTGGACAGTTTAAGGCAGGATTTCTCAAACTTGGCATTATTTACATTTGGGGCCTGTTAATTCTTTGTCTCGTGGACCAGTCCTGTGCCTTGTAGGATGTTTAACAGCATCCCTGGCCTCCACCTGCTAGATCCCTGTAGCATTCCTCTAGTTATGACAATACAAATTATCTCCAGACATTGCCAATATATCCCATCCCTTATGGGCCAAAAATCACACCCAGTTGAGAACCACTGGCAATGAGCCAAAACAAAACATCTTGGGAGATTTGAACCCTCAAATTCATAGAAACCACCCAGCTGAAATGCCACTTTGAAGGAGCTTTCCAAAGAAAGAAAATCCAGGTATAAACAACAGCAGCAACAGCAAACCAGGGGCAACGTTTTGAAGAGAAACATAGGAAGTGAAGCCTAGAGCAATTTCTTCACCCAACTAGCTAACAGCTACTGAAGCCACAAGTCTGTTTCTGCACTACAGGGTTTATGGGGCAAGTTAGATTCTGGCCTCAACTATGAAGCCCAAAGGTAAGCAGGAGACATGATGTCATGGGTGAGATAAGCATCAATGGTGATTCAGACTGAGAAGCATCACCACTGGTGCTCCAGCAGTATACCCCTACGCAGTCCTATTAACCCGATAGAGTGAGTCAGAAGAGGCTAATACTCCCTGTCTGCCCCAAGAATCATGTATTGGAAGGTTTTGCAATGACCTGCAATAACCTAAAATATAACATTGTGTGAGAATAAAAGGATACAAAATTGCATATATAGTGTGGTCTTACTTTTTTAAATTTTTTAAGCAGTTTTTTAAATGTCTATTTTCTTTTTGAGAGACAGAGCACAAGTGAGGGAGGGGCAGAGAGAGAGAGGGAGACATGGAATCTGAAGCATGTTCCAGGCTCTGAGCAGTCAGCACAGAGCCCCAAGCGGGGCTTGAACTCATGAACCGTGAGATAATGACCTGGGCCGAAGTCAGACGCTTAACAAACTGAGCCACCCAGGCGCCCCTGATCTTTTATATTAAAAGGGTAAAAGATATATCATAGCTAACTAGATACAAACACATAGGAAACCTCATGGAAGGAAAGAGTGGAGATATGCTTTAAGATGTAGGATGAGAGGGGATTGTATATTACTTTTATTTCTTCATACTTTCCTTTATCTTCTATGTTGTGGGTAATGAGTATGAAATAGTTTTATAATCATTTTTTAGGTGTTCTCAAAAAATGGACTTCCTGTCTCAAACCAAGATTGGTCTAGGAATTAGGAACAGCTGATTTCCTAAGTAGGACAAATATTAGGTCTTGTGAAAAAGCTTGGGAAGACACAGCTTGAGGAAAGAGTGGGAAATGTGGAAAATATGGTTTGCTCAATGGAAATGAACACACTCCTACATGAACTTAACAAGAATTTAGCATGTGTCATCAGAGCACTTTCTTCTTAACAGACAACAACTTTATAGTTTTGTAATAGGAAGCAACATGTTTTCTCTCCCTCCCCCTGCCCCCACCCCACCACCAACTGTTCTCTGGGAAAAAAAAAATCCTCAACTCTTTGGCCACATGTAACTGTATACTAGGCTATGGAGTGTAGGGTTTGTTTGGAATGATGGATGGTTTGACAATATAGCACAATCAGACAAGACCAGCCATCAATCACTTTAAATCAATGATAGACCTTGGGTGTGTTTTGTGCCATTTTCATTCATTCTAGTGCCCAGAGAGTTGCACAGAGCAACCTCATGACCTCACATGAGCAAAGAAAATGGCTTTTAAAGTTGTTTCCAAGCTCTATTCATCACTCATTCCTGGGTGAGATGCCAGGAAATAACTTTCATGATTTTTCTTTTCTTTTTTTCCAACTCATCTTTCTCACCTCAAAGACTGAATGAAGGATATGCACATAGACAAAAAAGGGCAAGAACCCCTCTGAGTGGGCTAGGTTTTCTATCATGTGAAGGAAATTTGGTCCTTATTTATTGCATTTTTTTTTATTTCTCTTACTCATCAAACAATCTGCTCAGAATTCCCTCCTGTCTTTTAGAAAGGAAGTTGTGATTTAGTCATGATTTCCTCTTGGGTCATTCCAGAACATTTGGAACGGAGCACTCTGGCCATCAGTGTATGCTAAACTTTGCTCTTACGTTCACCAGAAGAGACCATGAGAAGCCTACTCTGCTGGGCACAGGTACTTTTCACTGTGACCTTCATGGCCATGCTTACTAATGTCTTGTCCCTACCTTCAAAAGGCCTAAACCACCCCCAAAAGTGATACTGACATCTCTTAGGGTTAAGAATATCACTGCAGGGGCTAAGGAAATATGAAGTCTACCCCATAGCCTCAGAAAGACTTTCAATACCTTTAAAAATGTGCCTCTTTTCCAAAGCCCCTTGTAACACATCTTCCCCAACTCAAAGCACTAGGTCAGCTCTGGCACTCTCAATAATCCCTTTCGATGGTCCTAAAATACGAAAGTATTTTTACTTGTCCTTATCCTCCCCTTTTCTTGTCACAGAGGTAAACAGGGAAATAATAGCAGTTTAGCCCTGCAGAAACAGAGGTTAACTCCGTCATTTTAGGTTGAAGCCACAGGAATAAATAGAAAAAGCTAGCTTTTGGCTCATCTTGCTATATACAAGATGCCTGCAACAACTAGTAACATTTTATTCATTCCCATAACAAATGGACCCACCACAAATTTCTTTAGATTTTTCATCTCCCAGGAAAATACCTTAATATCTATCTTGTGATACTGTCCTATAAATGCATGCTGCATACAAAATTTTATCATGATGTTCATAGGATTCTGTTTAATGATGGAAGAAATTTTGTGCATTTTTTTGGAGTGTCAAGTTCTATTACTATATACACATTACTCAATAAAAAGGCAGTGGAATTGAACACTAAGGAATTGGAAACTAGTATTACTGGGATCTAAACACTTCAGGTTACAAGACAACCTGAAATAAGAGAAACTCACTGGCCTAAAAATCAAATCACTGATTAGTCCCCAGATCACTTACTAGATAAAGAAGGCAAGATGCCTTTTGTCAAGGTACCAAGCCTCTCTTTGGGCTTCAGATTCCCAGCATTTTGGTAGAATGATTTGGGGAATCTGTGTGGATTAAAAGCTATTTCTCTTATAACTGCATCAAATTCCTCTTTCCTCACTTATCTATGACAAAAATCTTATCTTCAGTGACAGTTACAGAATAATAACACTGTCCTCATTATTTTTGTTCCTGTTGTTATAAGGACCAAGACAAATATGAATATTTTCCATTAAATTACATACATATGTGTTTATTTCTGTGTGTGTGTATATGTACATATAGGTATGTATGTATATGTGTGAGGGTATACATACATACACACACAGACACATACACACTCATACACATAGTTTCCCATTGTGAAAATTATAGATCTAAATATGATACTGTCTTACTCAAAACGATCAACATGTGTCTGTAGCATTGATAAAACAAGGACTAATAGACCGCAGTAGGAAGAGCTGACCTTTTTGTCACTAAGCAAGTTATAGTCAATCATGGATGTGAGGAACTCTGACCACTTCAGTAATGAGATAACTATGTTCCTTGTGTTAAAGTAATTAAACAAGGAGGCCACTAGACTGAGGTGGCTCTATTGCCCGGGTAGCCTCTGTGAGCAAACCAAAATCCAAGCCAGAGCCACACACTTGAATCCAAAAGATGACAGTTAAGAACAACCAATCACAAACAGCCAAATAGATTTTACCAAATCAGGTGACTGTTTAAGCTATAGCCAGTCAAATGATTTCCTTACCTTGCTTTCCACCTTGTCTATAAAAATCTCTCTCCCAGCTCCTGTCAGTGGGGCACTCCTAACCACCTTTGACTGGGTGCCATCAAATTTGAATTGATGTATGCTCAAATAAATTTTTGAAAATTTTAATGTGCCTCAGCTTACCTTTTATCACTTGCATAAAGAGAAAAAAAATATATAGCCTAAAACAGTTCAACTCTAAAATGTACATAGGGGAAAATTATATCGGAGAAAACACAGACCATATACTCCTCAATCTCAGCCCTTGGAATGGAAGCAAACATCAAAACCCCCATGTGCACAAGCTCCTTTGGTGGGAATCTAGTGGCAGACGAGAACATTGTTGTAGAAGAAAGAAAATCAAGCAAAGTTTCACTCCTCCGGGGCAGACCAGCCAAGAATACCAAAGTAGAGCTGTATTTTTATTTTTCCTGTTACAGCACAGATCTGTTGTTTGGCTACCAAATTACAGGTTGGGTCTGGTTCTCACATACTTCTGCTTTTCATGTGCTGAACAGGAAGAGTAATAACAGACTGCTTCTTTTACTTGTGGGATTTAGGTATTCTTCATCCTAGAATGGGTCATTTTACTAAGAAAACCTGCCAGTTTAAAGACTGGAGGTGTATGCCATTCATGTGGGGGTGGAAAACCCATAAAAATGAGAGGCTTTTGGCTAAAAAGAGTGGTTCTAGTTACTTGTTCCCATGTTTAAATGACATGTTTATGAGTCATACTCTTATTATCTAATCCCAACAGCATCATCCAGAGATCACTATCATTTATATGACTACTTCAGAGAAGGGTCTCTGGGAAATTTGACCAAGGAGAATATAATACATACCCATTCAGTTATAGAGCAGCACTCTGCACACACTTTTCATTCATTTCTTTTAAATGCTCTATCGGTAATCTATAAAAGATAATTAAACAAAGTGTAACAAATGTTGTACAAATGCATAATACCAATATCCTGGACAGGAGAGCAGTTAAGTATAATATAACATATATTGAAGGAAACTACTGCACACAGATATTACCAATTAGTATTTGAATCAGTTGGCATTCATACAAATTCTGTTTTCTTCGTTGTTTAGTTAATGGCTTTGCTCAGGAATCAGGGGGAACTAAAGTGACTTATTGGGATAAGATTTGGATACAGGGAATCAACTGACCACTGAGAGTATTATAGAAACATTTTAGCGGGAGAGGCCTTATCACTCTGACCGCCAGCATGGGAAAGAACCTTGGAATTTTGACTCATCAGAGGATTTTTAAGAACTCTGTTGGCAGACAGGACCTATCTTGAGGACATCTGGCTTTCTTCAAATGAAATCAACTTATCCTTTTTTTTCTTAAAAATGAAAGAAAGAAAGAAAGAAATAGGTGTTTTCTTACCTTCAAGGCATTTATCTTGTCTAAAGATTAAAAAAATAAGACATTATCATTTGTATCACCCTTCATATTTGTGGAAGAAAATTCTATCATTTTGTTTTATTCGAAGAGGAAATGGAAGAACACAGGACCTAAGTGATTTCTGCTGAGGGAAGTACAGAAATTCAGCAGAGGCAAGTAGTCTCAGGATCCATGATTACGTCAAGAAGAGGAATAACCAGCACTGAAGAAACTCTAACTTTCCTACCCTAAGAGAATGCATATTCTATAATCTCCACTTACAATTTTTCTATATGTGGGTATGTTTTCTCCTGTGGCTTAAACTACCAAGGTCTCTTTTGGACCTATCAAAATTCCACTGTCAAAATATTCTTGGCCTATTAATTAAAGGAGGAAGCCCAGGTTTCTCTGACCAAGAGAAGAACAACCTGAATTATCTGCCTTGCTAGGTGCATAAATTATTCCACCATACATATTGTATGATTCGACAAAATCGGGATTGGATGCCTTTATTCAAGAGAACAACCAGTGATATGAAATATGACTGATGGGCTAACAAAATATTTATGAATAAAATAATAATAATAATGATAATAAAAATAATAAAAGTAAACATTTCATAGTATAATCTGGTTGCAATAATTTGGGTGGACATAACTAAAATCTGAAAAATATCAAGCCTCAAGGTGGGATGGAATTATTGCCAATATCCTCAAGAGTAGTTGAACTTTTCATCTTTAAGAAGAATGTTCTGGGGCGCCTGGGTGGCGCAGTCGGTTAAGCGTCCGACTTCAGCCAGGTCACGATCTCGCGGTCCGGGAGTTCGAGCCCCGTGTCAGGCTCTGGGCTGATGGCTCAGAGCCTGGAGCCTGTTTCCGATTCTGTGTCTCCCTCTCTGTCTGCCCCTCCCCCGTTCATGCTCTGTCTCTCTCTGTCCCAAAAATAAATAAACGTTGAAAAAAAAAATTAAAAAAAAAAAAAAGAAGAATGTTCTAACTATGCATATTCTACCAATTATCAAGTAAATTTCCACTCAGCACTTAAGCAACAAAACAAGGAAATTAAAAAGAAAACAACACACTTTTGATCTCAGCCACGTGTAGTGCTTTGTTTGGCTATGGTTTTGGATTATTTTCATAAATAATTTAAATCCCAAGATTTCCATTCCTTTTTTTTTTTAACTATTTGTTGACTTAATAATGCCATGTGTTCATCTTTGTTTTAAATGTCTCATGCACATGATCTTGCTTAAAGTGAAAACTCCCGTTTCTTGGCTTATTGAGAGAATAGAGCAAGGTTACATTTTTACTCACAACCTTCCAAATACTCTTACCTGTTCTTACATTTTCTGAGTCTTTACTGTCACAAATAACCAGACGTGATTGCCTCAAGCTCTCGAGAAAGCAAGCAGATCATGTTAAACACCAGGTGGGGTTTAGTGACCTCTTATAGGAAGATGCCATTTCCTGATGCTCTGTGCTTTGCAATGAGGTGATTAGATGATCTTGTTGACCCAGAGTTCCTCTACTTAATCAACAAGAGAGGATTTTGGAAGCAGAGGCTTCCCTTTAAGCAGCTGACGTCAAAGCTGCAGCAAAAGCAGCATACGGCAGCAAGAGCTGCAGGTGCACTCGCTAAATCACTATGTCTTTACTTTGTCAGGACAACCTCCAGAGCGTACTCTGGCTCGCCACACATCTGGTTGATATTAATTGGTCACTGAAAAGAACATATGAAGATGCGGCATGTATAATTACATATTTACCAAAATGTCACAGCGTTTGACCGAAGCTGTCCCTGTGGCCATTGCTGTGACAGGGGCAAGTGGAAAGAAGGGAGTCACAGGGAGAGCTTTGTATGACTTCTCAATGCTTGACCGCAGCTTTCTCCATGAGGGAGGTGAACTAAAGCTCTTAACTGTGGTAACTAGAGAAACATTAAAGATAGTTGAACATTCTTTTCATGCAGACAGTTACGTTCACCTTGTAAATGATCCCTTGGCCTCCAGCTTTGCCCTCCTCCATCAGTTCCCCTTCAGATGCTCTCATTAGGCCCTAAGTGAAATCCTGATCTTCCCTGCTCACATCCCCTCCTACCCATGTCCTGCAAGTAAAATGCAAAATCTTTCTGAGGGTCTAGGAGGCCCTCTGAGATCCATTCTAACCTTATCCCTCTAACTTCGTTTCTTGTGTTCTTTCCTTGGCTCGCCCTTCTTGTCGGCCCTGCTCTTCCAGGAAGATGCCAGGCATGGTCCCACTCCCAGGCCTTTCCACTGGTCCTTGTCTTTACCTGCACTGTTTTTCCCCACGTACCCCAGGGCTCACTTCCTCGCTTCCTTCAAATCTGTGTTCAAATCCCATCTTCTTAGGAAGGTCACCTCTGGCCTCCCTATTTAAAATTACAACTCTCCTATACTAGCCTGCATCTGCCCTCTCTGTTTCACTTTCTCCCCATAGTCCTTACTGTCTTTTAATATTCTACCTAATTTATTCACCTTATTTATGATCTGTCTTCTCCCATGAGAATGGAAGTCCAATGGACAGGGCTTTTTGTCTGTCTCGTTCACTGTTATGAACAGTGCCTGGAATGGAATAGGTGCTCAAAACATTAGCATCCGGCCGGTCAGTAGTCCATGAAGTTTGATGGGGGATCCAAGGGGTTTAATTTAGACAACTGCTTCTTAGAATATGAATGAGGCTAATCATCTGCTCTATCTGTGGACCAATTAGCCCTACAGAAAGAAAATCTTCATTCTACAGCAAAGACGTCACCCTAGTGTTATCCCTCCACCTAAACATTGTAAGTAAATCACAATAAGAAAATATTGATGACACCATGCAATTCAGGATGAGCTGAACAAGAAAAAATCCCAGAGCATATATCTACCAATAGGGTGTATCAGTAAAAACACCTTTATATATAGCATATTTATTTATTTTTTTAATGTTTATTTTTGAGCAAGAGAGAGAGACAGAGCACAAGTTGGGGAGGGGCAGAGAGAAAGGGAGACACAGAATCCAAAGCACACTTCAGTTTCCGAGCTGTCAGCACAGAGCCCGATGTGGGGCCCGAACCCACAAACCGTGAGATCATGACCTGAGCTGAAGTTTGTTGCTTAACCAACTGAGCCACCCGGGCGCCCCAATATATAGTATATTTATTTAGATAGTATAGTTCCTTAGTCCAGAAAGATATGATAGTTATAAGGAAATGAAGACCTAAAGTATATTTTAAAGCCAAATAGAACTAGAAATGTTTGTTTATGTTTTATGAAATATGTTAGCAGCTATCCACTTGCCAAAAACAAGACATTTTATTTTACTAATATTATTAGTAAATATGTGTTTCTCTGGTTTTAAAAATAAGTCCTTTAATATAAAAAATTCAAAGGAAATAGAGTTCTGTAGTTAGGTAGGTTTGTGAATTTTCTCTTAAAAATATGTAACCATATTACTTAATACTCCTGACACCGGCAATCAAGAATATTTGATTTTTTTAAAAAAGCAATTAGCCTTTAAGAAAAACAAAAGCTAATTAAAAGTGACAATCTAGTCATCTAGGCAAACAACAGCTCAGAATCAGTCTATACTACCTACTATAAACCGAAAAGCAGCAAACTATAGCTTAAAATGACTTGTTTTGGGGGCCCCTGAGTGGCTCAGTCGGTTGAGAGTCCAACTCTTGATTCTGGCTCTCATGATCCCAGGGTCATGAGATCAAACCCTGTGTCAGGCTCCATGCTGAGTGTGGAGCCTGCTTGAGATTCTCTTTCTCTCTCCCTCTGCCCCTTTCCCCCACATGCGCGCGCTCTCTCTCTCTCTCGCTCTCTCTCAAAAGTAATAAAAAAATAAAATGACTTCTTTCCAATGTAGTTTTTTAAAGTTCTCACAGCTGCAGAGGCCTCACATCATTTTTCCTGCCCTGCTCTGTTGATTTATTCTCTGAAGTTGGTTAAATTCTTATGTATGGAAGGCTACGGCCATACATAACTTCTTTTAGAAACTCATTTATGCTTAAGTCAATCTATCTTCAGTTATCCATGCTTCGAAAGCTTAAAGATTCAAAACCTCAAAAATAAAACAAAGGCATTCGTAGAAAGAATGTAAGATCAGGCTATGGCTGTGCATTATTCCTACGAGGCATTAATTTAGCAACTAGATGGATGTAAAATCCACCGTGAATGGCATAATGGACATAAAAGAAAATCTATAGTGAACAGCGTAGTGGACAGAAAGGAAGAGGAGGGAAGGGGAGGGAAGAGAGGAAAGGAGAGGGAGAGAAAAAAGAAAACAAGTATCCTATTGAGTTTCCTCATGTAAAATCGAAGAAATTCCGTAAAACGCTCAAATACAGAGGACGAGAGCAGCTTGTAATTGAGCATACATTTTCCCCTAATTCCATCGTCTTTATTCATTCCTACGGTCTCACATTTTTTTCGACCTCGTCTTTTCTGTTCTTTGTACCTGTGTTTATGCCACAAACTCTACGTGTTTTATTTTCCTGTTCTCTTTTCATTTCCTTCCTTGTTCACATCCCTTGTTTTGCAAAAAAAAAAAGTTGCAGATGTGACTGGACGAGCAGAGGCAGGGTGCAGTCTCCAAATCAGCTTGATTTCATTCAGATAAGACCGCCCAGGAAAGTGATGAGGGAGGAGGCACAGTGTATTCTATGTCTTAGAACCACGCCCACGAGCTCGCACCCTGCCATGTCTGTAAATGGCAGGGCCAGCTACTGGGGAGTTAAGGCCTGGAACGGGACTCCTGATATGTCAGGAAGTTCTGGATGACTGTATTTTGCTGAATGATGAAGTAGCAACTGCTGGAAATAATAATAGGCCTTAAAATAGCAAAAATTCCT